AGACAGAGAAGCAGAAGCAGGGGAGGGGTGTGTGGAGCAGGCAGAGTAACAGAAACAGGGGAGGGGTGTGGGCAGCAGGCAGATAAGCAGAAGCAGGGTAGAGGTGTGGGAAGCAGGCACAGAAGCAGAAGCATCGGAGGGGTGTGGGGAGCAGGCAGAGAAGCGGGTCCTACAACCAGGCTAACCCAAGCAAGCCACCCCCTTCTTTTCTTAGCAAAGTCTAGCCACTTTTTTTTCCCCCATCTTATTCTGTTCCTCGCTGTCTGCAGCCCCTGAGGACAGTACCATTTTCAGGTAGGTTTAACCTTCAGATTTTAGAAGAAATGCTGCCACCCCCGCCAGAAAGCTGGTTTATGGCCCTTCCAGAAAGAGACATGAGCTTGGAGCCCACTAAACGAGACGAACTTCAGCTCCATCACTTACAGTGTGAGCGGAGACAACTGAGGCAAACTGTGCAGTCCCCAGTCTCCTTGCCTGCAGAATGGATGGTGCAGGAGGTCTGTGTCGTTGTAGCATCTTCTCGTTGCTGCTAGCAACAAAGATAACTTGAGATGGTACCACCACCCAGTATGTTTCCATACACGTCCTCGTCCCAGCACTCCTGGACATTTGGCAACTTGCTGCAGACATGCTGTGACGAGGGACTTGGGTGTGTTATTGAAGTGACATTCTCTAACTCCAGGGGCTGAGGAGCTTGTTGCTATCATAAACCCCCCTTTGGGTCAGACCTTTGAGTGTCACTTACACCAGTTTGGAAATAATCTACTTGCTCCCCCTTCCAGCGGAGGATGTCATCACTGGTTAATGGAAAGTGACAAGGGGACAGAATGAATAAGAGGGGGAAGGTTGGGGATGGGGAAAAGAGCCTTTCTCTTTGGGGAATGTGGAGCACTAAGCACACCATGTTAAATCGTGCGTGTCAAATAACGGACTAATTAAGACCCTTCATCCGTTGGGGTGTGTGTGAGTGTGTGTGTGTGTGTGTGTTTTCACATCTCATTTTTGTTGTCTTTTCAAAGATTTGTTCCCAAATTAGCTTCAAGCACTCTGAATAAGTGCTAACGGAAAAGAGAAAGAAACCTTGCCCATCGGAGAAGCAAGCAGCCATCGCACAACAGAAAATACATGGAGGGCTGGGGGAGAAGTTTTATGATCATAGTAGCAACTTCTTGAATAATGGAATTTAATAGCATATAATAAACTGTGATCCAGGAGAACTCTGGTTCATTCCCGCTAATTGTTCTAGCCTGTGAAATGAAGGCAAAGTTTATCACGCCAACTTGCTGTTAGGGCCACGGAGCTCTGCAGGGAACAGGCAATTGTCCCCAGCTGCCTCCCTCCTCACTCCCAGAGGGTACTGGGTCCTTGCCCTCCGAAACACCCGACCGTACCTCCAACTTTCAATGGCAACCCCAGTTCTAAGACTTTAAAGTCACAGAAATGTAATTTTTTTGCAATCAACAAACTATTGTATTCTGCAGAGAACAGAAGGGCGACTAGACACAAAGCCGCCAATTAGGTTATAAAGAATAATAACTAATATGCTTTCATAGCGATGCCAAAAAGTACGAAAACCTATAATAAATTTAATTGGGCACACGATCATAAGCACTGTTTTCTACCTACAAACTTCTGCTATATTAAGCTAGACTCCAAATAGAGAAACACATTTTTTATCATTGTGATTGAAAAGTATGCTTTTTTTCCCCTGCATTCTAATGTGGATCATTTTACCAATGTCAAAAAAACGGGAAGGTATAATTAGGAAAAAGAAATTACTTTCTCTGTTGTTAGTCATTGGTCATGTCTAAGCGTTAAAATGAATGAAGGAATTAAAGCTATTATCTGAATAATTCAGGTGCCCCCCAAGGTCAGAGGTTTCTGATAAAAAAATATTGTCTTTGCCTGAATTAGTAAAGTAATAATCTTGGTTTTCTGCTTTGTTTTCTAATTGTGGGTCTGTCTATAGGTGAAGAATCCTTTGTACCTACTTTCAAGAGTTTTCCTGACAATTAAAGAGTATATTATTTTTATGCACATACATTTTGTGAACATCAGAAATAGCTAAAGTTCTACAGAGCCTTTTGCAAAGTAGCTATTGAAATTACTAAACAAAAACAAATAAAAGATTTCCTTTCCTTTCCGTGAAAAAAAAAAAAGGCCAAGAAAGAAACCTTGATAATACTACAGGGGAGCTGAGGTGGACTGAACCCACGTCTACAGTGGGAGAATCTAACAAGAAAATTAGCACTGGGCACACTGTGGCCAGCTAATAAAGAGAGCATGGCTAAGAGAGATTAAGGTTCAAATTAAGGTCAGAAAAGAGATGATAGCGGAAAGCTGCCATGTTCTGTCGCACGGCAGTTTAAGTGAGACAGTTCCCCCTGAATCGGGCTTAGGGTGAAAAATTACACTGTTGGGGTTAATAAAGAGGCCGGGCATTTGTTTGGACTGAGACTTCAATTAAAATGTTATTTGGGGCAGCCAGAGCTAATGTTGTGCTTAGACGTAAACCAAGATGCCTTTTGAGAAGATGAAAAAGAGAGGGGAAAAGAGAGAGAAAGAAAAAGAAGAATTAAAAAGAGAGAGAGAAAGAGAGCGACCACCTAATCTCTCTCAGGCTCTGAAAGTGGCAGGAAGAATTGTGTGAGCTGGACCCGAGCCCAGCTCAGCAGCAAGCCTTCTTGAGAGTTCTGTGACATCATCCCAGGCAGCTGAGGGCCTGTGAGTTTTTGATTGTTGTGCTGGGTGAGGAGGCTACTGTTCAGCTGAGCCTTATTTGAGACAAAGGGGGAAAATCTGGTTGATGTAATACGCCAAGTTTTTCTTTCTTTCTTTTTTTTTTAATGCTGTAAAAGGGCGGTGCCAGGAATTCTGGGTCTTGTCACATGTCCCCACACAGAGACTAAAGACAGTTATTGAATTTCTTAGCCTATATCAATTTGTACACATTTAGACAAAAAAAAAAAAAAAAAAAACAGGAGGGTGGGTGCAAATCTCCCCAAGCCTTCATTCCTTCAGTATGCAACCCACATCTCACGAAGATCCCTAGACATGTTTACACTGGTCAGAACTGTGCAGACTGGTTGACAAAGCATGCATCTTTCCCTGCATTGATGCAGCTTACAGTTTAAGGTAGGGAGGCATTTAATAAGTTTTAAAACTACGTAGCTGGGGCTGAAGAAATAGCTCAGTCCACAAAGTGGCTGCAACATCAAAATGAGGACCAACACTTGACCCCCCCCCCAGAACCCATGTAAAAACTCAGGTGTGCTTATAACCCCAGCCTCAAAGAGGCAGGAACACAGGACCTCTGGGCTCATTGGACAATCATCTTACCCTACTTGGTGAGTTCTAGGACAGGGAGCTATCCTGTCCCAAAACTAAGGAGGACAGCCCCTGAGGAAGGAATGAAAGGTTAACATTTGGACTCTGAAACATGCTTGTATAGTCAAACACGCACACACACGCATGCGTGTGCACACACACACATGTATAACTTGG